CCGTGTCCTGGGCTGCATCCAAAGAAGCGTGGCCAGCAGGTCGAGGGAGGTGATTCTGCCCCTCTACTCTGCTCTGGTGGGACCCCACCTGCAGTACTGCGTCCAGCTCTGGAGTCCTCAGTACAGGAAAGATGTGGACCTGCTGGAGCGGGTCCAGAGGAGGGCCACAGAAATGGTCAGAGGGATGGAACACCTCTCCTATGGGGAAAGGCTGAGAGAGTTGGGTTTGTTCAGCCTGGAGAAGAGAAGGCTCCGGGGAGACCTTATTGTGGCCTTTCAATACTTAAAGGGGGCTTATAAGAAAGACGGGGACAGACTTTTTAGTAGGGCCTGTTGCGATAGGACAAGGGGGAATGGTGTTAAACTAAAAGAGGGTAGATTCAGACTAGATATAAGGAAGGAATTTTTTATGCTGAGGGTGGTGAAACACTGGCACAGGTTGCCCAGAGAGGTGGTAGATGTCCCATCCCTGGAAACATTCAAGGTCATGTTGGATGGGGCTTTGCGCAACCTGACCTGGTTGAAGATGTCCCTGCCCATGGCAGGGGGGGCTTGGACTAGATGACCTTTAAAGGCCCCTTCTGACCTAGACTGTTCTGTGGTTCTATGATCTTTCGTATCAGGACAGGCTGAGAGAGCTAAGACTATTCAACCTGGAGAAGAGAAGGCTTGGGGGGATCTTACCAATGTGTATGAACACCTGACAGGAAGGAATAAAGATGAGGGAGCCAGACTTCTCAGTAGTGCCCACTGATAGGATAAGAGGCAATGAACACAAATTAAAAAGAAAGAAATGCCATCTAAACACAAAACCCCCACTTTTTAACTGTCAGGGTGGTCAGACACTGGAACAGGTTGCCCAGAGAGGTTGTGTATTCTCTACCTGTGGAGCTACTCAGAACCTGACTGGACATGGTCCTGGGCAACCTGCTGCAGCTGACATCGCTTCAGCAGCAAGGTTGGACTAGATGGTCTCAAGAGGTCCCTTCCAACCTCAACTGTTCTGTGATTCTCTGTGCATCCCTTATGTCCCAGTATATTGCAGTAATGTTCAGCTCAGCTTTCTCACAAAAGCTGGTAATGTTGATCCTTCTGAAGCCTTAACTCTTTCATAGTGATTCTCTTACATGTATGTATTGAAAGGCTGAACTCTGCTGTTGTTTGACTCAGAGCTACCAGATGTACGAGTCCACTTAACATTTCCACTCCACCCTTATTATTTATGCTTCAGTATTAGTCAGTCCAGTTTTATCTTGTAACATTTGCAAGCCACAGTCTGTGACACCAAATAGCCACCAATTTCTTGATAACTTTTTAATTGTTCTCAAACACATGGAAAAAAATTCCTTGCAAGATTCACCGAGGTGATGTGAATGCACCGCCATCTGCTGGAACTGACAGGCCAGATTTAAGCTTGCCCATGTAGTGCACAGGGAGAGGTAGACGTCTAAGGCTTGGCTAAGCCTGGCTTGCTCACTGGCCTTTGGTGCAGTGAGTTTATTAACACATGGTTTTTATACCCACGGCCAAGTAAGTTGGTTTTTTTAGATGAAACCTCTGCTTGACTTCCCTGTCCACCTGCTTCGTCTGGTGCGAGGTTCTAAATCAGCTGAGGCTGGAGTTGACTGTAGCCATGCTCAGCTGTTACCCAGTGTGTGCTTACTGGGTAAGATGGGGAGACGAGATTCTGGGCTGATGCTAGACGGTCAGCAGGATTTGCACCTGGATTAAGGAGCACTTTGATTTGGATTTGTACTGGGAATAATTGAGACATGAGGATAGTGAGATTTAAATCAAGGCTTTCAAAGCAGTGTGCTCATGCTCAGTGGAAGGGATTCACAGATGCCGTGAGATGGTTGGCATTCAAACCCTAAAAGAATTAACAGCCTTATGCCAAAGAGATACCTTTTTCTCTTTGGCATTCTTACATAGGAACCCATTTTTTAAATGAGTTGCTTGAAGCATGGCTGTTCTGGTGGAGGATGGACCTGAACCTGCCTTTACTGCAATGTTGATATTTTACGGCTGAGCTACTGGCTGAGGGGGAATCCTGCTCCTCCTTTGAATGAAACTTACGTGTATTCAGACCGTATTTACCAGACTGGGGTCCACAGGAGAGGGAACTCCCTGTTTTGGTTCAGTTCCCAGCTGGCTCAGCCTTGCTCCTTCAGCAGCTCCTCTGTTCCTTTTCAACAGACAATTGAAGGTGCAGGGACCTTAGGCACTGGGGCTTTAAGCGTATGGATAAGTGGCAGCTGAGGATGGGTTTTAGGGAGGGAAACTTTTGACTTTAATTGTGTTTTGCAGGTTTTAATTACTTGTAGAGGAAGTCCCACAGGATTTTGCCAACAGAAATGAGTACTTACGAAATTTAGGCACCTGTAGTTGGATGGGGGTTTTATGAACACCAGCCACATTTAAGTGTTGGATTTCAGTTGGCATTTGGGGTTTTAGGATCTTGCAAAATTAATCACTTATGCCTGCCTGATCCTTCTCCATGAATACAAATGTAAGTTTCACCTGCCCTTCAACAAGTGCCCCAAGCCTTTTTCTTAGGAAATTTGTAATATGCATACATGCTCTTTATACCACAGCTCTTCAAGTACAGAAAGTTATGCCAGTGGGTTTTTTATCCCAGTTGTTTAAAGTCTGCACAAATTAGAGAAGTGGTCTAAAAAGAAACTGTAATTCAATACAGCAAAGTAAGAAGTAGTCAGTACTTAAAAAGGAACAATTAGCTGCACAGGTACAAGATAGGAAAGAGCAGACTGGGGAATAATTTTTCAACAAAGACTCAGGGATTTATAATGGTTTACAAACTGAATGTGAGTCAATGCTGTAAGATTTCTGCCCTTTCTATTTTATTGTGTGTGAGCTTTATCAAAATTATGTTACCAGCGGTTAAAGGATTCTTGCACTGCCCAGTGTTGCCACTTGCTGGCAGCAGAAGTCTAAAAACGTATTGAAAGAGATTTTCTTAAGATCCAGTATTACTAAGCAACAGCACTATTAGATGCAAATACTATATAGAAAAAATATGTTTTAGGTCTGCTGAGGCATCTGATCTCCTCCTGCAGAAGCATTTGAAACAGGGATAGGAAAAAAAATGAAAAAGCTATTAATTAATATAAAAATGGGTGCATCTGTTGAAAGCAGCTCAAAGTGATTAGAAAAACAGTAGCAGTATTACTTTTCCAAGAACAGTTATGGTTCTGTGGTTCTGTACTCAGTGTGGAAACTCAAACGTGCAGCCTCCAAACATACTCCTAAGGTTTTGAACTGAAGCTTGTGGGACACAAATGCTCCATACCTGTGTGGGATCCACATAAACACATAATCAAAACTCATATATTGTGTTTTACTAACTGTGCTTTTTATATTATTGTGAATATATTCACTTTCATTATTTCTGGGTGACAGAAATTTTGCCTTTTTTTTAAAGCCCTTTAACACCCTCAGGTCATTGGCAATGGCATAATATCTTTGACTTCATAACAGATTTAGTCTCTGTTACTCTGGATTTTCACTGCTGTGGAAGCCAACAGCTGAAGTGCTCTACTTTTGAAACTGAGACCTCAGTCTAACCCTTGTTAAGAAATTGTATAAGTCCTTAGGGAAGGCTTTGAGTCTTGTAGTTTATGCAAAAATTGCAAATAAAATATAGGTATATATATGGATGACTTCTAAAGTGAATGTTAATGACATGCTTTTTAGAAAGAGTTGTTCCATTCCTTTATGTAACCAAATTTTTCTTTTAATGTTTAGATTTCACAGAAATTAAGTAATGAAGATCTCTCTCCAGAAATAAGCCTCTGTCTAGATGCCCTTCTGGAAGATATAATAATGGTTCCAAAGGAACAGACACCACAAGATATATTTCCACACGTTTTAGAAGATTGCCAGAGAACCCGCATGACCATTATTGACACAGATAACAGAGTAAAAGAACATTCCCCTAATAATGGCACAGATCTTTCACTGGCAGCCCCAGGGAAGATTTTCATGGAAGCATTCACTGAACAGAGTATAGAGACTGCTGAATTTGAAATCAGTGATTTGTTGAGATCCCTCAGTGATTCTGAGACTCTTAAAATGATAAACACTAACTTGCCTGACAAGTTAGAGTGTCAGGGTCATGCCTTTTCCGTTGATCCATCAGCAGATGAGAGCAGTGATGCCCTGCCAGTACAGCTTGTGACAGCTCTGAATGCCTCTGTAGTACAACCTGTCACTCTTGTAGTGCCAAATGAGAGACAGCTTAACACCGAGGGAGAGCAGTTAAATTCAGAACCCAGTATTCCCCAGTTAGATGATGACTGTACACAAATAACAAACATGATTAAGCCTCAACTTGCTACAATTCAGGTGGAAGAAATAAAAGCCTTAACGGGATCTAACTTGCAGAGGACAACAAATGAGCAAGTATATACACAGTTTAATTAATATTTGAAAATTTATGTTCATCATAAAATATTTTATAGAATAGCCAAATTACTTGGAGATGTGAATCTTAGTAAAGAATAAACTGGCATCAATATTTTACATGTTTAATACATTTCAATTGTTTTTGTTTTAAAAGTCCAGTAGTGTTTTTCTGTTTTGATATATCTGTGTTATGAAAATGGCTGAGCTTGCTGGGTTGGGAAATCCTAGTAAAGTTAATTCAGTGACTGACATGGAAATCTAGAAATAGCATGGGAGTTTCAAGAACTCCTGGTCCCCCTGTACATCTATGTCTCACATTCTCTCCAAGGAAAGTTCCAAAACACTATTCTGTTATTTCATTTTAGCACACTGACATATACCAGCCGATTCCAACTCTAGGTTCCTAGCCCATCCGGTTCTGTTTTTTCTCCAGACTATAGTATGCTGTTTTCCGTTTTCATAGCTCTCACTGCTGTAGCATACAAATGCTTTGCAAGTATTACAGAAGAAATGATAGCTATGTCTTTCCTGTAGACTAGAAAGATTACTTACGGGGATTTTTTACATGTATATTTAGAAGTGCATTTATTTTGTTTAGTTCTGCCTATGTGAGACTTACTGAAAAAATTGAGGCATGGTTTCATGTTCATGTCCTCCCCTGAAGAAGCCAGGACGTATGGATATAGCATGTGATCCTTCTTTCTGTTTTCTTCTCTTACCCTGTGCTGTTCTCTCCACAATGTTATGTCCTGTGCTGTGAAGGTGATCTGGAATAGGTCATTTGGATTCAACAACACAAATGCAAAAATCTGGAGAGGAACATGAAGGGAGAGCAATGCTATAGTCTCTTTCTGTTTAGGTTATAATAAGGGAAAAAGAAGGACACATAGGAAACCTATGTTTATGCTCTAAAGTGTAGTAGACATCCCTTGTAAACCTGGAATCAGATTCTCTGCTCTGTGTTGTCTTCGAATAATCTGGAGCTGCAAATCAATGATCAGCCACGTATAACTAGCTATTTAAGGTGGTTTTACAGCCACTTCACTTCCCCACAATGGCATAAAGCATCCAAAGTCTATGAGTTAATTCCGTCTTTTGCTGGTAGTATTAACTGAATATAACAGTACATAATAAAATGTGCCACAAAGGTAGCTAATTTCAAGGTGCCAAAAGGTCTCTAGACTAATTGCCTCAGAACCATAGCAACTTACAAAGCTCTTTCAGTGAAGTGCTGATTTCTGAAATTTGTAGCACAGCTGTGTGAAGCTTAAAGTATAGATTTACTCAATCTTGCAGTTAAGATTGTGAAGCAGGGTCCTGTGGGAATGGGGATCTATAACCTCTTGCCAATTAATAATTGATTTTAGCTTTTTTTGTGCCTCCATCTGCTGTTCTTGAAGGCAGAAAGTGGGGACGCAGTTTAATGAGGAAAAAATCCCAGTTAATTTTTTAGTAACTGTTGTGTTCTAACAGTATATTGTTCACCTTGGTCTTTTCTCACCCTTGTTTCTTCAGAGTATCATTGTTGTGGTGAAACAAGTACCCAAAAGAGGAGAGCCTGTACTGTCCTGTAGATGCAATCAGGATGCTGGATAGCCCATTTATTTTAATATATGGTCCCTTATAAAGCAAATGGCTTTTTTTTCCTCTTTGAAATGTTTTCTTCTTCTTCTGTTGCTCTCCTCCTATAGCAGATGTGATGCCATGGAAAGTACTGCATTGATAGTTTTGTAAACTGAAATATTTGGTTTTCCCCAACTGCCATATTAACATGCATCATCTCTTGACCCAGAGGGACCACTTCCAGGAATGCAGTTCACCTCTTCAGTAGCCTCTCTGCTGAATATGTCAATTAAAAAAATTAATCAGCAAATCTTCCATTTCCATCTGTGTCCCAAGACTAACAAGACTAACTTAACTAACAAGTTCTCCCACATCACTGTGAAAGAGTTTGTATGCATGTGTGCTGAGGGTGTGTCCTAAGAGCTTTCAGCATTACTCAAGTGTGTAATAAGCTAATAAATACCCAGGTTTCAGCAACTTGGGTGATACTCAGCAGTACATCACACTTGACTAAAAACAGTGAATAAACTCAAGTAACTCAAATTAACTGCCATATGATGACATATCTTTAGGGTAGGATTTCTCTCCCTTACTGGTAGCCTCTGGTATACACGAATCATTTAGGTTCCCCTTTGCACAACTTAGGATGAGGTGAATCACCATCATCTCTGAAAGTAGCTCTTACTCTTCAGCAGTGGTAGGGGTAATGAGGATGCCATCTAGATGTCATCTAGATGCCTGGCTTTTAGAAGGCTGAAGGTAAGTGAAGTGAATCTCATCTGCAGTGGCTGTAGCTCAGGGATGGTATGTCTTTAGAAAGAACTTCTCAGCTGGGAGTTACTGAACCTCAGGTGAAAGTAATTCTTGATCTTGTGCACATTTCTAGGCTTGTGCGAGAGTGAGATAAGATGGGCTAGCTTAAGACATGTTAAGCATCACTTTATTTTTTAGGACAGGAGCTCATGTCCATAGGAAACTGAAATGAATCTGTTAAGTCATTTCAAATGTCCAACCAAACAACTTTCAGATAGTAGCAACTTTTTTTCGCTGTCAGCCAGCCTAGATTTATTATTTAAGTTGTGATTCTGAGCATCGTAATTCCCTTGGCTAATTCTGCCAGGGGCACATGGTGTGGCATACTACTTCAGGAGTGCCTCTCCTATGGCAGCCTCTGTCTCTTGTATCTGTAGAATTCCAGTTATTCACTTAAGCAACCCCTCCATTGTCTGTGAGCACACATGTAATTTATAAGACAATGTTCTTGGAGCTCTTATATATGCAGCCCTTGTTTTAACTGCATGCTTACCAGTTGCTTGTAATATTTCTTTCTTGTCACAGCCTGTTGGTGATCAGCAGAGAGAGAAAGAAGTAATTTCAGATTACTGGGGTGCCACCTCTAGTGAAAACCAAACTGGTGAGGGAAGTTCACATTCAGTGGAGGCTGCAGCATGTGCAGAAACAGCCCGAACAACATCAAGGAAAGCAATGCAGTTAAGAGAGACCTCCTCAAGAAAGTGCAGAGATCATGTTTCCAGTCATCGCCAAATACTAGAAGAGACTCAGCAGAGGATGTCTCACATTGGCAGTACAACAAGAAACAAAGATAAGGATTTTGAGTATGACAAAATATGCATAATATTCTTAAATTCTTTTTTTTAATTAATGTAACAAGTACATGTATACAGAGTACTAATTCCTTATGTGAATGACTTCAACTAATCAAAAAGTAAAGGTTTTACCTTTTATTTAAAGATCGGGAAGTTAGTTTCTCTTCTGATTTACTCTTTATTCAGTACTACCTAAGTTAGCCTATGTAGTTGCATGCTATTACTGACTTCCTTTTAAAATCAAATATATTCACATTCTTACCTCTACTATAAACATCGATTTATATAGAGAAGAGAATATTTGTGTTGATTCTAAGCAAATCTCTTGTCAGTAAAATTGAGAAATCTACTTCTAAAGACAAGCAGGATCTAGAAACCAACATATGCCAAGAAATAACTCTGAATGAGGATAGAAAAGCTAAGCAGAGAAGAAGAAGCAAGAGAATTGAAAACAAACTGAGTAAGATATTCTCTGATGTTTATCAGACATATTTTTTTTTTATTTGAACAACTATACTGAATCAAATATAATTCATAACCTTTCCAATATATTGTGGCATGGATTTTTTTTAAAAGATGGTATAAACATTCATTTTAATAATTAAAATTCTTGGTAATTTCGCTCCCTTGTTTAAACTTGCGTATTAGCAACCTAACAGTTGACTTGTTTGCATAAACTCCTTAAGAATCATGAAAATTTTTTCAGGATGCAATTTTTATCACAGTGCTATATATGAAAAAATTATGGTGTATTCTGAAAAGCAGAAGAAAAATGTTTTTGTGCAGAGTGAAAATGTAGATCCCGATACATTTATATATCCTTCTATAATCTAGTATTCTGTGTGCAACATCATTCTTAGGGCAGTGCCATCCCCAGGAGTTGACCTGTACAAAACAGTTTATTCTATTTTGGATGCCTGCTGTTGTTATCCTGTCTGTTTTAAATACACGATTATAGGGCCTTCACAGTCATGGAGCACTCTTTAAAGTATTTTTCCTTGCAATGTGCTTTGTCAGAGAGAAAGATTGCTATTTTTCATCCTTTGAAGATGCATGCAGAGAAATTCTTTGCCTCGCAGAGGAAGTGTGTAGGAGAATACAGAATTTCCTTACTTAAGTGCTCACTCCAGCACCTTTAAGATTAGGGTCTTAAAAGTTTTTTTTTTTTTGTTTAAGCCCACTCAGTCTGGATTTATCTGTGCTCCTACAATCATTTAAACAGCTTACAAAGTTTGGAAGTATTTGAACTGTAACAGCTACATATAGCTACAATATATATACATATATTCATACAAAATATGAATAATTCTACTTCCAATTAATAAACCTCTTTTACAGGGTTTTAATTATTCCCAGTGGAAGCACTGTTTTTATGAGATTTAAAGTTGTATGACTAACTGCTCATCTATTTCAAATTGACTTACTTTGAGTTTCCACTCAAAAACCAAGCTGTTGGGTTTTTTAGCATGATTTCTGCAGAAAGAGTTGCACTGCCTATAGAGGTAGCTTTGTGTTAATCCAGTCTAGCAAGTTTACCTCCCTTTTTCATCAGACCTAGCAATCAAGAGTCTGTGAGTCATCTTAGTTTGGTAACTCACTGAAAAAACAGCCCCACAAAAAGTTTCTGTTTGCATCAGCAAGCATCACTTGTTTTGCACAAAGTCAGACACAAGGAAGGTGCTAGGTAGGTAGGTAAGTAAGGCAAGGTAGAAGTGATGGGAAATAGGTCCTCTTGAAGTAACAAGTTGAATTAAGTGTAACATAAAACTGTGCATTGTTCCGTGTATGTCTGTGCGGTTTAATGCCTCCTGAACTGCTTGGCTAGTTTAGACCAGCTTTGACTAGGAACTGCAGTATCTTAAATGGTTAAGGTCTTGCAAGGCTGGACAGGTAGGGGAGAGGGACTGTCCATGTGCTCAGCTGAGGGAAGGTCCTGGGTAAACCCGTATCTATTAGATTCTAAAAATCTACACAGAGTCAAGGTTGGGAATTAATCTGAGTTCACAGTATATCACCATGCACAAAACAGCAGAGACATCAGGCTTTGTGAGTTACAGCTCTAGGAGAGCTACGTGTTTTAAGGTCATACTTAAAATGTCTAATACTCAGGTGGAGTTTTAGGGCCAGTGAGCCACATCTGCTACAGCTTGTGGAGAGGAGCAGTGTATATAGCCTGCTGTCTCAAGGTTTTTCATTAGTAGATCAAGTAATGGCCTAAGCCATGCATTGTGCTTTCCTGCAGGCGATCCTCCTGTCCTTTCCTTCCTCCCTTCTTTCTTCCCTCCCTGTTTTTCAGAAGAGGCAGTAGCCAGGATGCTCTTCTCCACAGTATGAAGGGATGCTGGGATGGCACTGCTGGTGAAGTACAGAACAGCTTATCTATGTATTGGAAATAATTTCACCCAAGCTGAAAACTGTAATCAGTGCATAATGGGAGATAGCATTTGTTTTGTAAAATAATAAACTAAAAATAATATCTTTTACATTTTATTTTTTACATTTAGGCCTCCTATTCCCAAGCAGCTGTTCACCTTTCGCTCATTGCAGAAATGGCTGAGCTGGTTGTGAAGTAATGGGGAGAAGTCATCTGAGGGAGCTAATCTTAATCACTATCCTAGTGTAAATACTCCTTGCTCACAAAGCGGAGGTTTTAAAACCTAAATGAGTACAAAAGAACTGCTGATAAACTTGACTTTTAAGAAAAGAGAAATTATTGAATAACTGACTAGTTATTGAAATGCTCATCTTGTAATGAATTGTAACCTAGAATAGCAGTTTTATCATCCAGTGGGAAACAATGCACTTTGCAAAAATGTCATTAAAAAGGAAAAAGTCTAAACTAACACACTTTTACAAAGTCATATTCCTGTGTGTTGAATTTCAGAGTTTTGTTACGGAATTCACTATGGCATCTTTTATTGAATGGTGTTATTATTTAATTGGTAATGTGTTTTTTGAGATACTCGTTTCTACTAGATTGAATGAGCATTTTTTCTTCAGAAAGCTTATTTACTAACTGTAATGCAAAGTGAAGCCAAAATAAGAGAGGAAAGATATTTTTCTGTTCAACAGATCTTTTACATTATTTTTCAGGACAAAAAGTCTTTGGTAGGAATTCTGTGAATCCTGTTTGCCCCATTTCACTTTCAACAATTAATAGGAGGAATATTTATGGTGAGACCTTACTGCATAGAGCTGTTGCTCATCAAGATGTAGACCTTGTACGTAACATAATAAAAGCCGGTGGAAATGTAAATGTTCAGGATTATGCTGGTAAGTTGCAATTGTATTAAAATACTATTTTAAAAACAAGTATCTACCTATAACTAATAAAAGTGCATATTATGAGTTTGTGCAGTGGACAAGACTGTAGGTTTGTGACTAGTCAGTAGATTATTAAATTTTTATTGGCTTAACTTGGTTATTGTTCATGAGAAAATATATTGACCTGTGTATAAAAGTACATTAAAAAAGAAAATTTTATGGAAAAAGTAAGCACTTAAAAAATTACAAAGTGATGCAGTTAAGTTTGTTTAGCCTTAATTCAACAATCCTGTGCATGCTTATCACAAAACAGTCCCTTAATTAAAGCATCATCATAATGTTTTTTAAAGATTTTTTTTTGGTCCATTTCAGTAGCCAACTTGAGACACCAACATTCAGATTTTCCAGTTTAATTTTTCAGGGACTCTGATTTTATCCCTTGCATCTTAAAGGAAGTTGTAGCTTCATATTTTAGCACTGCTTTGATTTTGTAAAGTTGTGAGTACTTGGTATTTTGCATTTTTACTTCATCTTGGGCACAAAAAAAAAAAGAACGACAAATAGTGGCCAGCTGTGAACATTTTGATTGAAGCAATTCACCTTATTCAGCTTCATGTGTGATACTCTGTGTCAAAGACATTGCCACACCCTAAAGTATCAATTGGTTGTTTCAAATGTAAGACTGTTGTTTCTTACTTTGGGGTTCCCTGTCTCATCCATTAGGCTCTGATAAACTTCCATAACAAAAGAGAAGATGGTTTCACAGACAGCTGGCTCATTTGGTAGAAAACTTTGATTCATTCTTAGAGTGTTTCCATCTTGTGCAGTGGCTAGGATTTCACAACTGTTCTGTGGGAACAACAAAAAAAAAGTGTTCTGCAGTTAAAAGCTATTGTATAATGCAGGCCTGTAACAGACCAAAATTAAGGTAGAAATTCTATGTCTTCTGGAATATATTGAGAGAGAGATTGGGTCAGCAGCAAATTTCAGACTTTTACAATATAGGACTCTGGCATTTGAGCTAGCAGAGTGACTTGTAACGTGTGTTGACTTGTGCTAGAGGTAGATGAGAAAATATTTTTTTGGTGGGCTTCAAAGCCATCTGCTGACAAGAGAAACGTTGATAGTGTGGGTTCAGCTGCATCCGCTGTGGGCAAGTGTACTAAAGTGCACTGGTTCCAGTTTTTGGCCTCACAGCTGCTTCCTTTTTCTGCCTTTGTACATTTTGCCAGGCCACTGTTTCTTCATCCCCGAGACTCTGGCTGCTATTTTGGTGTGAAGTGAGCACAACTGCACAAAACGTGTTTTAGTTGAACTTCTTGAAGAGATGAGAGGCTGACCTGGCCCTACTTCTTTCTTTGTTAGTGAAGGAGGTATAATCAGAACGAAGTAGAGTTGCCAGACCTGTGCCATTTTGAAATGCACTTTCATCTCACTGTCTTTGGGAATCATGGTTCTGATGATTACATTCTGCCTCTTGCCTTTTCTCTTCCTTTAAAGCCCTCCACTAGTGATTATCCATATCTTAGCCTAGTATTTTTCCTTATTCCTGTGCTACAGTACTCTGCTTCAGTACCTTACTGAGTTCTTGGGTTCTTTTGGAGGTTTTTTTCTCCTTTTTATTTCCTGGACATCAGCACATAGGATATGGACAGCATGGTAGAGATGCTGTCTGTGCTCTCAGTTTGCGTCTTGATTCACAGTGCCTTGAGAGAGTTGAAAAAACATGGCAATGAAACTTGTGTTTCTCCTTGGTCTGGAGCATGCACAGTGTCCTTGGAGAATCATGTTGCTAAACTCTAATGATTATCAGTTGAACATGTTGCAGGTTCAATTTTTCAGGGGCTTATTAGTATATCAGATAGAGGATACTTTTTACTGAGAGAGAAATAGGTACTTTCCCCTAAGTGAACCTTGTTTATCCTCCCCTTAACAGATTTCAAGCTTTTGCTCCAGAATATGGAGTTACTAGAGTGTCTTAATGAAATAGGCTCTATAAAATGCCAGTAAAATGTTTTACAGATTATACTGTTAAAAACCATTCATCTTGAAGCACTGTCAACACTAGGCAATGTAGTTAAAACTTAGTTGAGTTTCCAGCATTTGGGAACAAAGCCTAATAGCACAAAACTTTTGGACAACCTGATGCAACATCATGTGCCTATAATAAGCCCAGTTCTATACAAATATACAATATTCTGGGTTGAGTGGTGTATAAGAGAGCCTCAAGAGTTTCTCTTTCCAATGAATTAAGATAATTTTGCTTAATGGGAGCAGAACAGTCTTAATAAGCCTAATTCACATATTAATTCACATATTTAGTATGTGAATTAGGCCCAGACAACCTTCTGATAGTGGGAGATGCTTGAGGAGTAAGGCTGTCCATCAGAATGGTCTTCTGGAGGACATGCTGGTTTGAGAGCTGGAAGATAGGAAGTGGAAGATGCTCGGTCTTTTTCCCTTACTTTTCTCACCCTACAAAAAACTGTCACATAATGAATGTTTAAGGCTATGCTAAACCCAGTTCAAAGATTTACATTCCATCTTTTATTTTTCCTCAACACCTCCTTCATGGAGTAGAATTGTTCTGTGGGTCATGAAGCTCATATCTTGGTTTATTCCATATATCTGGGAATGGATATGGAATTTCAGTAAGGATTTTTCATTGCTTTCTTTGGAAACTCGAACCATTCTTGGATAGTCTTAAAAAACATCTTTGTTTGGCAAGGTCTTTATTTTGTCTCTTCTTTCTTACCCTCTTCAGCATGGCTATGTAAATAAAAGAGTGCCATGAAAAATTGTATTGTTCTTAAAATAGCATATACATTTTATTTGGGGAGAAATTACTAAGATACGGGTGGAGTAATTTTTATTCTCTTCTTTCATAACAGAACTATCAAATCTAAACCTAATATTGTTACAGCAGCACCTGGTTCTTCAGTAAGTGCAAATTTTGACAAAAGAATAAGATCTCCCAACCATTGTGACTTTTTCATAAACATTACTTGATAAAACTTATTGTAAAATGCATCCATTTTTACCTTTTCAGTATACTCTCTGAAATATTTATCAAATAGGCAACCTAAAGCTGGCATAAATTTTCATAAATTATTTCACCCAAATGTGAAATAAGATTTTTCTTTTTCATAGGCTGGACTGCACTACATAAAGCAAGTGTGGAAGGCTTTTATGGGATAGCAAATGAGCTTTTGAAAGCAGGAGCTGATGTTAATGCTAGAGGAAATGAACAAATAACACCATTGCAAGATGCAGTTAAAGAAGGCCATTATGAGGTATATTCAAAATTTAACACAAGTTATGGTTTAGGTATAGAAATGGTTGTTATTGGGTCCAGAAGATCACATAATCTTTTTAAATGTGGCTGGTCTTTTCAGATTATGGGTAAATTCAGGAGCTTGCAAGTCTTTTCTGCCCAATTTATGTTCAAACCATTCCATGCTTTACAAGATTTGTCCAAAAGCAGAAATTAATTGTTTTTCTGTTTGGGACAATGGCTGAAGTACTGAGGAATAGATTGCTACTGTTTAATACTACTTGTTTCACTTATTTTATAATCACCTTGCAGAATGATTTATGACCTGAGCAGTCTTCTGGAGTTTCAATTACTTTTTTTCATGATTTAGTAAACATGCAGGTATGGTGTGCAGCCACAGCCATGTACAGACATTTTTTGTGTATTAACACACAGCATGGAGACTTATGAAGACATGGCTTTATATTTTGTATGGTCTTAAACAGAAAGTCAATTGAATAGTCAATGTAAATTAATTATAAATTTTGTTGCCAAATGCTGTGGTTTCATAAGCCTCTGTCTGAATTGTGGATCCTCTTTCAGCCTGGCAGTGGTTGCCCCCGCTTGTCTGTTTGTGCGTGTTCCTAGGGTGGCCCAGATTTATGTAGGAGTTCTGCATGTCCCTTTTACCTGCTTGCTGTTTCTTTCTCTAGAAGTGCACATATGCTGCCTAATATTTATTGATTTCCAAGATTTTAAAATTTTTTTGTGGGGTGTAATAAGTTTTGTCCCTAAACATTTGCTCTCTTTCTGTTTCACAACTGAGATAAGACTTAACCTGTTTCTCCCCAAGTGTCCCTGGACCAAAGAGAAAGGGTGGACTTTTGGTTAATAATTTTCTCTGAGACTTGAGAGCCTCAAGCTTGGTTTTCAGCTTGTGGATCAGACTCTTGCAGGTTCATGAAATATTTCTGAGTTCTGTGAAAGTATCTAGGACACCATGTCCATGGTTACGCATGAAGGACTCTTCATCTATGCAAGTAATATTTAGGGGTCAGCAACTTGAATGATATTGGAAGAACACCGATCTCAGCTAGGTCACTTGGGGCACACCAGCATCATTCAACACAGAGCTGTGTTAGAGTTATGTGAGCTGGTATATCCGCAGGGAACGGTACTACATGGTGGCGCTGTATTTACTCAGAAGCAATATAGTCATATCACTGCAGTGGTCTGTCAGACTTAATTTTTGTTGCTTCTGTCTAGCAACAAACGAGTGATAGTGATTCAGTAATACGACTTTTGGTAACGTGGTATTTGGAGCTGTTTCTTTCAAAGCTACCTTCTCTGTGTGAAGTTATTATTGTAGATTGGAAACACCTTTTGACTGCTTTGTCCCTTTCTGCACCTGCAATATGGCAAAATTAATTTCTTATTTCAGAAGAATGGTAAGTATATGAAAGACTTTCTAATAGTACAGTTAAGGGGGAGAGCATACAAGTGTGATGTGTAGCTAAAGGTCTCATTAAGGAGCAAGAGTTCTCAACATTACCTGTTGAAAAAATCCATAGATTTGGGACAACTTGTGAAGCCCAAGAGGGTTTTTGCTCTGGATTGAACCCTTTTTTATTTGCTCTGTTTTTATGAGAATGTATGAATTGAGAAAACTTCACTAGCAATTTTCTCATTAGCAATCTGGTTAGAAGTAATTAGGGACTTTAAACGCCTGGGTGAAGGATGTGAGTCAAGCTCACGCTGAAATGCTAACAGATGCTGAAGAGAGAAGGGCAGACGTACAAGTAAAACCACACTAGTGCTGGAATAAGATTGCGGGGTTACCCACAGAAAGGAAATAATCAGATTATAAATTTCCCATGTCTTAAAAAAGTATTCTGCAAAGGTAAATGGAACATTTTGCTAAAGTGATAATTTCTTGAATGACAACAGAATCAGGCTTTATATTTGTACAGAAATCGTAATGTTGGTAAGACCATCTGAGTGGGTTTCATTTGACCAGATGTATGTTGTACATCTGAAATAGCTGTCAAAGCTTCCCTTTGCAGTCACAGGAGTCACAGCAGACACACCTAGAGCACAATTTATTTTCTCCTAACGTAGATATCCTAAATAGATAAGATGACTCATACCGTAAAATCACGAGTTATTTTCCACCAATTAAGAGCTATGGGGGAATGAATCCTAGCCTATATTTTGGAAGACCTTGGCTTAATGGCATCAGGTTAAAAACTGAAATGAATTTATAAAAATGAAGATAATAAGACTATAGGATAATGATCCGTCTGGGGGAATGCTTGGAGTATATTAACTAGAATAGAGAGGGATTATTTGTCATAAGCCTTAGATTGGGTTTTAGTTGCTCATGTTGTCGAGTACGAGAGAGAGAAGCCTGTATAAGGAAGGAGTATGGAAAGTACTGTCAGAAAAGAAACAATCTGAAAAACTTACTTTTCTAGATGGCAGAGTTATTACTTTGGTATGGAGCTGACCCCTTATTAAAAAATGAGATGGGAAGGTGTGCATTAGAAGAAGCTTCTAACTGGTCTATGAGGAAACTGCTTAAAAGATACGCAGTGAAATCCAGAAGAGATTCAGTACCAGGTAGGGGAGAATTACTCTGAAATACTATCACCACTAAATGGAGACATTCAGAACACCTATTGCACTATATTTCCTTAATTACTGCTAGTAATTCCATGGGCTTCACTGTCTGATGCCTGAGTACCCAGCACAGTTGCTGTACATGGGCAAAGTATAAAAGATAATGATGTCCAGCTTTTTCTTGGGCTGGAGCTACCTTTAAATTTTAAATGAAGATGTGAAGCACAATAGTTGTCGCCTATCTATATGTAAGATGGGGTGTGGCTGGACTTGCTGATGGGTGAGGTATGGCTTAGAGCTAGGGATAAAATTTGGTTCTAAACTGGCATAGAGGCTGCATTTTGAAGGATCCATAAGATAAAAAATGGAGGATCTAGGATTAGTTCTAGATCTTAGGGGTTGCCAAGCCTTAACTGCTTATCCTTAACTGCTAGTGTTAGGGCTGGGACTAGGGTAGTATTACTGCAGGTAATAGCTAGTGAGTTTGCAAGGGGTTGGTAGGTGAACATTTTGGCTAAGGCGAGAGTTGAATCTTGTACAGTCTTAGGAACTAAGTTGAGAAGAAGGTTCAGAAGAGGCTGCTTGGTCAGGGGCAGGTACAAAGAAGTGTGACAAGATAAGCCTTGATTAGAGTTAGAATTAGGACTATTGGACACCAGTGGGCCAGTGTGGGCAATGGCATGTTTAAGTCTGGAAGGAGTCTCCAGCCCTTGGACTATTATCCGTTATTGTTCTTCATGTGGGTGGTGATGAAGCCACAATGCATAGTTCAAGGGCAATCAAAAGAGACTTCAGGGCCTTGGGACAGTTGGTAAGGGAATCTGATGCACAGGTAATTTTTTCCTCTATCCTTCCAGTTGCAGGCAGTGACATTGGAAGAAACAGACAGACCCAGTCTATTAATACATGGCTCCGTGGCTGGTGTCACCACCACAATTTCAGGTTTTTCGATAATGGGATGGTCTACACGGCACCAGGCCTACTGGTGTTGCATGGGATTCACCTTCCTTAAAGGGGGAAGAGGGTCTTTGCTCACAAGCTAGTGGGGCTCATTGACAGAGCTTTAAATGAGACTTGAAGGGGAGGGGGAAAATATCAGGCTTGCATGTGACAAGCTGTGGGATGACACACCAAGGTTAGAGGGACGGGGTGCTAGCAAGGGCCTGTTGCTCTGAGATGTGCTGGGTACACTGGAGCACACTTGAAGTCTTACAGAGATGAGCCAGGGGCTCCTGAGGTAATAGGAGCCAACAGGGAAACACTGGAATTAAAGGAATTAAGGTGTGTTCCTCTAAAACGGTGACACGGCCAACAGCCCAGCTGAAGTGCCTCTACAGCAATGGAGGCAGCATGGGCAACAAACAGGAGGAGTTGGAAGCCACCATGCTGCTAGAAAACTATGACCTGGTTGCCATTATTGAAGCTTGGTGGGACAAATCTCATGACTGGAGTGCAGCTATTGATGGCTACAGGCTGTTCAGAAGGGACAGGTGAGGAGGGAGGGGTGGAAGGGTTGCCCTCTATGTCAAGAAATGGATGGATTGTGAAGAGCTGTCTCTGAAGAATAGCCACGAGCAGGTTGAAAGCTTATGGGTAAGAATTAGAGACCAAGGCAACAAAGGGAACCTTGTGGTTGGTGGTTGCTGCAGGCCGCCCAATCAAGGGGAGCCTATTGATGAAGCCTTCTTACTCCAGCTACAGGATGCATCGCGCTCGCAGGCTCTTGCCCTGCTGGGGGGCTTCAACCATCCTGGCGTCTGCTGAAAAAGTAGCACGGTGAGCTGTAGGCAATCCAGGAGACTCCTGGAATGCATTGAGGATAACTTCTTAAGCCAGGTAATAGACAGTCCTACCAGAGGGGATGCGATACTGGACCTGATGGTCACCAACGCAAGTGAGCTAATCAGAGACATCAAGATCGGAGGCAGCCTCGGCTGCAGTGATCATACACGGGTGGAGTTCGCAGTCCTGAGGGATACAGGTCAGGCGGATAACTTCTTAAGCCAGGTAATAGACAGTCCTACCAGAGGGGATGCGATACTGGACCTGATGGTCACCAACGCAAGTGAGCTAATCAGAGACATCAAGATCGGAGGCAGCCTCGGCTGCAGTGATCATACACGGGTGGAGTTCGCAGTCCTGAGGGATACAGGTCAGGCGAAAAGTAAAGTCAGGACCCTGAATTTTAGGAAAGCAAAATTCCAGCTGTGCAAGGAGTTAGTCAATGGGACCCCCTGGGAAACTGCCCTCAGGGGCAAGGGAGCAGAAGAGAGCTGGCAGGTCTTTAAGGATGCTTTCCATAGAGCGCAAGAGCCCTCGATCCCCACGTGTAAGAAATCAGGAAAGGAAGGCAAGAGACTGGCATGGATGAGTCAAGACCTGCTGGTCAAACTAAAGGGCAAGAAGGAAATGCACAGGCAGTGGAAGCAGGGAGAGGTATGCTGGGAAGAGTATAGGGACGCTGCCCAGTTGTGTAGGGATGGGGTCAGGAAGGCCAAGGCG